ACCAAATGCGCATTGCACATGGATACTTTGTATGTAGCAAAACCTTCCATTGTATGCCCGTGAGAAACGAACCAAATGTATTACAGTGTATTATCATGTGTAGTCCCTTTGTTCCTGAAAGAAGGGAAGTATAAAAACTGAAGTCTAATCCCGCCCTCCTTGTTCAGAATTGCCTATCTCTAATATGCCTCTGAACCTTCCGCAATAAACCTCTCTGCTAAACCCCTCTGGAATTCGTAAGAGTTCTTTCGTTTTCCACAAGAACATGACTCCTGGACACTGCAACTGTCATAAATTTGAACCAGTTGCCAAGCATTTGAAATTCGATCATGTGACCAAGGGCATTTTTTTCAGTCCTGTTGTAACTTTGAACTATTGTAAGTCAAAGACGTGTACTTAGGCTAGCTTTTTTCTGAAATATGTTGTATATTATAATCAAAAACCAAACCTTTTTTAGACAGTTCACGATCTTTTGCTTCAATTTAACATGTACGCCATCAGAAATAATTATCACAAAAAATAACAATGGAAGTGTATAATCTTTTTAGCAACTTCAACACGAATTGTAATTACAAATATAATTACAGTATATCTCCTCCCGTCCCCCCCCACCCAAAAAAAGAGTAATATTTTTCTGATCTTTCTCTCGTCCATCGAATGGACGCCGAGTTATTTGGGAGCTGGGCGGCTCCCAAGCTTAACGTCACTTCAGTAGTGACGTTTGGTTTCCCAAAGGCCGTTTGGCGTCCCAAAGACGTTTGGTGTCCCAAAGGGCGCCTGCCGTATCGAGGAGACGCAGAGCAGGGCGAAGAGGGCGCTCGAGCTGTGAGTAGAGCTGGCTGAGAAGCCGAGTTGGGGAACGGGGCGTCCGTGGACTGAGGCGTTCGCTGTAGTTTTCGGAGAAGAGAAGCGGAAGAGGAGGCCATGTTCTCCCGAGGCGGCTGTGCAACAAAAACCCGGGCTAGTTCCGACTCTGCTTCAGGAGATCCGTGTTATAAATCATCTGGGTCTGAAAAGGAAAAGGGGCGCTTGACCTTCACAATTCAATGCCAGTTTCTGCTAAGTGAGCGCCGCTGAATTCGATAAGAACGCCATGCCAAGCGAGCGACGCCTGAAAGTTGTGTTCAGACTGGCCGTTTGCGCTTGGCCGAGCGGGCTCCGCTGAACGCAGGCAGCTTACTAATGAGCAAAGTCCATAAGATTGCCTTTGCTTGCGAGAAGCGGCGGAAGCGGCGGAAGAAAGACAGCCTTATCCACGCGCTTAAACAAAAGTTGTGGCCGCGTTAGTCCGTAGTGGCGTTTTTGTTCCAAAGAGGAGCTCCGCGGTCCCCGTCCTCATTTGACGAACGCGCAGGGCATTTTTGTTGCGGGAATGCTAGGCGTGTATTCTGCCTTAGTCTGAAGAGGGAAGAGAGAATGCAGGGCCCGATGACTTGTTTTGTTTGGGCTTAAGATGAGACTCCGTTTCTCTTCCCCGACGGCCGAGGGGAGCATTTTCCATTTTTTATGGATCTGCGTAACAGTCCCATTTTATTCGTATGTTTACTCAGAAATTGCCTATAAATTTAATAAACTATATTCATTGATTATAAGCGCCTATGTAAGATTATAAAAGGAAAACAAAAATTGGTGGAGCAGAGCTTTGCTGGTGGCTTCACCTACAACTCCCGGAAGTTTTCTTGGCAGTAATACAAGAAATGTTTGTGGATTGTTTTTTTTTCCCAATAGCTCTGGGGGATTTCTGGTGCTCTAATCAGAATATTAAGTTAGATCCTGCTGAGTTTTTCCAAACCAAACAAGGTCCTGCAGATGAATTCCTGGCGTCTTCATTTCAATTTTTATTTTTTGTCAGAGAAGATTTTAAATACAACTGCATGAGACACTTGATTATTCTAAAAAGTAATATGGAGTAGGATTGTATCCTCTGCTTCTGAGGGCATCCTTGATTAAATTATCCACTATGATTAAAATTTTAGCTTTTACTTTAATAACAAGGTGTTTTTGCTGGTATTTTAGGGGGAAATCCTAATAACTTGGAGCTCTAGTCTGGACTTTCCTTAAGAAACCATCAGACTGAACATGCCATCTGAAACCTTCTATTTTAGCCATTGTTATGTTCCATTATGTCTTTGTGACTCTTAAGAAGGAAGTAGTTCTTCCTCTTAAGAAGGAAGTAGTTCTTTTATTATTTATTTGTGGAATTCCTTGAGAAAGCCTCTTAAAAAGTGTGATGTTTAGTGATGCATTCAAGGAAAGGAAGGTTTCTCAAACTCTGCAAATACCCTTTTAAATGATAACATGAATTTGTGTTGCAATATCCAACCCGTCTGATTAGATAGTGTCATCAGTGCAATGAACATGAATTTGGGCAAACTCTGGGAAACAGTAGAGGAGAAGAGGCCAGGCATGCTATGTCCATAGGGTCACAAAGAGTAGGAGAAGACTTATTGACTGAACACCTCACATTATCAGGGCTTTACAAAATAAAAATTGAAGAAAAAGCTATAATTGGAAATTGAAGAAAAAGTTTAAAATCACATTTTAATGGAAGGATGAACCTGCTTGCTTTTGTATCATTCTGAAATCTGAATTTCATTTTGAAGACAGCCACTTTCTTTCACTAGTCAGGGGGGAAGTAAAAAGGTATTTCTTTGCCTTAAGTCAATTTCTCTTGAAATTGGCTGCTTTTGATGATCTCTCCCCAATAATCTCTACCCTTCCCATTTGTAATTCTGTCTGCAATGTGAAGATCAGTTTTTCCTTCAATTTTTGTGCTCTCCAACCTTGATTGTTCCCTTTGAAAGGAAAGGTGGCATACAAAAACAAAAAAGTGTGATTTTGCATTAAACTGGTAAACCTGCTCACAGAAAGCAGCCTCCTGGCAACTCTTCCCATCCTTTGTCTCGTGACACCCCCACCCCCCACTTTGAGAATACCTAATTTTGTGTCAATTACGTCCTTTATGTAGTGAAAAATAAATGTGATGTATCTTGCAAGAAATGGAAAGTCAATCTTTTCTTCTTCCAGAACCACCCTACTTTAAAAGGGAAACAACCACAGCTAGGTTCTAAAAGTATATATTTTAAGTTGAATTTAAATGGAATGTATTAAGATGAATTGGGGAAAAAATATATTCTTGCCTATTGTAAAAATGTAGGCCCCACGTGTTTTCTGGATCCAGAACTAAAAAATAGCCTTATGCCCTCTTTCTGTTGCAATACACAGAACTGAGACCTTCTTGCACACTGCACGCTGTCAACAGAAACTCCTGAAATTCCCCAGTTTATAAAAGCTCAGTCATTTTTTTTAGACAGGAAACTGAAAATACTGAGAGAGATACAGTATAAATATGCTCAGTGACAGCATAATGTTGACTAATTTGGGACAAAATAAGGACAGTGATGGCGAACCTTTTAGAGATCGAGTGCCCAAAACCTGCTTCTGCCCCATCCTGCCCCTGCTCCGCCCCATCCCGCCTGCTCTGGCCCACCCCCTTCCCGCCCGCCCGCAGGGCCATTCACCACTTCCACGGCCCACCGCAGATTGCCCAGGCGGCCCAGCAGCACCATGGTAGCCACGCCATCCGCCTGCAGCGCGCAGCATCAACTACGCATGACAGGGTGTGAGGGCGGAGTCTTGTCCGCACTGCCCGGCTGCCATGTCCTTGGCTGTGCTGCTTTGCGCGGGCCACGCTCTGGGGTTACTCTCCTCCAGGGGGGCTATTGGTGAGGAGGGGGCCATGGGGGGAGCGGGGCTGGGGCAATGGCGTGCATACCCACAGAGAGGGCTCTGAGTGCCTCTTCTGGCACGCATGCCATAGGTTCGCCACCACTGAAATAGGATATGGCATGTACGTGATTTGAAATTAGTCACCAATTGTACTTTGTGTCTTATTGCTGGTCCAGCTTGTAGCTGCTGAAATAGTAAAGTTATTTTTTATTTGCACTAAATCCCTATGAAAGGATAAAACATGCACACAATTGACTGCACGTTATGGAGACCACAATTTTCAATCCTTGCTTTATATGTTTCTTTCTCAACCCCGTGCACTCTATCTTCCTTCCGGTTGGCTGCGTTACACATGATTCCACACAGTATGCATACTTTCTGAATCTTTCTAGAGTACTCATTATCAGAAATTTATTGTTATTTAGCAGAATGCAGATTTTGTAGCTAATCCTTGGCTTGCAAAAATTATGAAAGGATATAACTGCCCTATCTGATTTGCTTGCAATTCCTGGAATATCAAGGCTGTGAATCGTGCTTCAGTCCCTTCAGTCCCTCCTCAGTGCAAATTGGAATTTCCTGTATGGCTGCAAGGGGGAGAAGCCTAGTTTTATGTTATCTGCCTTTTATGTATATTCTTGATTTCACAGGGACTCATTTAAGTCTTGAAAACTAAATCTGAACAAAGATAAACAGTGATTGTGGATTATAAAAAAGCAACCTTAGTCTCTGGGTATGTTTAAATCAGTCTTAAATTTATTGGAATAATATGCTTTTGGTGATTGGTGAATATTTTTTACTATTTTCAGTATCAGATTGCAGACATTGTGATGTTTAAATCCTGGCAGTGTAATCCTATGCACTTTTACTCTAAAGTTGGTGGATTTGTTTTCATGCTTGGAAGCATAGAATTGCAATCTTGGTATCTTTGTTGATTTCTTTCAAATCTTGATTATGAATCTTTTCTTATAAACATGAGGCTTCTTCCTCTTTTCCAAGCTCAAATAGTACTATGAATGTATGTACATATGTCAGTTTATTATTGGTTATGACATTTAGAAATCTTAATCATGGGATTTTTAGTCCTGCCTCAGGTATGAAAGCTAGCTGGGTGACTTTGGGCCAGTTACTCTCTCTCTCTCGGCCAACCCACCTCACAGGGTGGTTGTTATGGAGAAAATAGGAGGTTTGCTGCCTTTAATTATTTGTAAAAATGATAAAAAGTGGAATAAAAATAAATGATTGCTTGATTGATGAAGTACTGTGGAATTTTACAGAGGTAATATTTAATGAGGTATATGTCCTTTTATTCAGGGATCATTAAGAATTTGTCTAAAACAATTGTCTAGTTATGTCTTAGTGATTTAAATTGCTTATCAGCACTGTGACAACTGAAAAACCATAGCCATTTTACCTTTTGCTTTCATTATTTTTTTTCTGTTGTTTGGCATTTTCAGATAGAGAATGGGGGAAGTGGGAATGCTTGAGCTATTTTAGTTAGTCATAACAATTGCAACTGTGTGAGAATCAAGGTCAGTGTTAGAAAAAGTTTTGGCAGGTTGAAAAGTTGGGAGGAGTGCCCCTGTTTTAGAATAATTGGTGAATGATTTATGACAGCCTTTCTGGGTTTCTTGCAACTTGTTACTTTGTTGCAGGGGGGAGGGAACTTTAGTCTTGGGTTCAACTATGTAAGTGCAGACACTTTGTTTCCTGAATAAAATGTTCTTTAAGGAAGAAATTTTTGCCTTGAAGATCTTTTAATTGGTTTCATCTGTCAGAACCATGACATTGCTATTGTAAATTTGTAAAATCCTGATCTGATGTGCTTCTGCTCTAACTAATCCTTCAGTGACCTGACCCAAACCATTGTCTGTCAGCCTGTATGAGAATGAAAAGAAACTACAGGTAGTCCTCAAGTTACAACCATTCGCTTAGTGACCGTTGGAAGATACAATGGCATTGGAAAAAGTGACTTATGACTGTTTTTTACACTTAACGACCATAGCAGCATCCTCATAGTCATGTGACCAGAATGTAGGTGCTTGACAACTGGCATGTATTTATGATGGTTGCCATGCCTGACATGGTATGATGACCTG